TGGACCTGCATCTAAGATTTTGTCACTTCAGCCTCTTGGTTTAGTAGATTTGCAATGAGTGTTTTGATTGGATGAAAAAAAAAACCCTGTCTGTGATTGGCTTGTGATGTGGTTCGTTTCGATACAACTTGGGTTGCGAGCACAGAGACAGAGCTGCGAGCAAGTCGAGGGGAATTTGAGAGGATGGAGGGGGCCACGCGAGCAGAGGTAAAGTTGAGAGGAGGGAGGGAGGGAGTCTAGCACAAGCAGGAAGAGAGTTGAGCAAGCAGGGAGGGAGCCACATGAGCGTGTGTGTGATTTGAACATGCACGGTTCAAATTATTGTTTGTTCATATTATGCTTCTCAAATCAGTGTTACTGTCCGCTCAAGCTGGTGGCACAAATGTAACTCCATAATAATCCACCCTTTTTGGAGTCCTTGGAGGGGATGCTGGAGAGCACTCCTGATGGGGACTCCCTTGCTCTGCTGGGAGACTTCAATGATCATGTGGGCAATGACAGTGAGACCTGGAGAGGTGTGGTTGGGAGCCCCCCACCCCACACACACACACATCCCGATCTGAGCCTGAGTTCTGCTTTGTTATTGGACTTCTGTGCTTGTCCACAACGAACACCATGTTCAAGCATAAGGGTGTCCACACGCCCTCTTGGCAACAGGGCACCTTAGGCTGGAGTTCGATGATCAACTTTGATGTTGTCTCATCGGAACTGTGGCCGCATATTTTGGACACTTGRGTAAAGATGGGTGTTGAGTTTTCAACTGACCACTACCTGGTGGTGAGTTGGCTCCGATGGTAGGGGAGGATGTCGGTCAGCCTTGGCAGGCCCACAAAAATTCTAAGGGTCTACTGGGAACGTCTGTCAGAGTCTCCTGTCAGATTGAGCATCAACTCACACCTCTGGTTTATAGTGAGGATGGTGCACTGCTGACTTCAACTCTGGATGTTGTGGGTCAGTGGGTGGAATATTTTGAAGACCTTCTCAATCTTACCAGCATGTCTTCCAATAAGGAAGCAAAGTCGTGAGACCTTGGGTTAGGCTCTCCAATCTCTGGTGCTGAGGTCACTGTGGTGGTTATAAAACTCCTTGGTGACAAGACCCAGGTGGTTGAATGTGATTTGACTGGAGTTCCTTAAGGCTCTGGATGTTGTGGGGTTGATAAGACTCTACAACATTGCATGGACATTGGGGGCAGTTCCTCTGGATTGGCTGCCTGGGGTGGTTCCCCTATTTAAAAATGGGGACCACAAAGTGTGTTCCAACTACAGGGGGCTCACACGTCCAAGCCTTCCTGGTCTATTCGGGGATCTTGAACAGGAGGGTCCATCAGATAGTTGAATCTTGGATTCAGGAAGTGCAGCAAGGTTTTTGTCCTGGACATAGAACAATGGACCGACTCTACACCCTCAACAGGGTCCTGGAGGACACATGGGAGTTTGCCCAATCAGTCTGCTTATGTTTTGTGGACTTGGAGAAGGCATTGGAGTGTGCCATTGGGGACCCATGTATGTGGGTGGGTGGCCATTTCGGTAGTATGGGGTAACAAGCCCTTTGATATGGGCTGTTAGGTCCCTGTACAATTGGTGTCAGAGTTTGGTCTGCATTGCCGGCAGTAAGTCAGGTCCGTTTCCAGTGAGAGTTGGACTCCAAGGTTGTCCTTTGTCATGATTCTATTCATTACATTTATGGACAGGATTTCTAGGTGCAGCCAAGGCACTGAGGGCATCCGTTTTGGTGGCCTTAGGACCGCATCTCTGCTTTTTGTGGATGATGTGGTCCTATTGGCTTCATCAGATCGTGATCTCCAACTTACACTGGAGCAGTTCACAGTCGAGTGTGAAGCGGCCGGGATGAAGATCAGTGCCTCCAAATCTGAGACCATGGTCTTGAGTTGGAAAAGGGTAGCGCACCTCCTCTGGGTCAGGGACGAGGTCCTGCCCCAAGTGGAAGAGTTTAAGTCTCTCAGTGTCTTGTTCAGGAATGAGGGAAGAATGGAGCAGGAGATTGATAGGCAGATTGGAGCTGTGTCTGCAGTGATGCGGGTGCTGTACTGATCTGTCGTGATGAAGAAGGAGTTGGGCCAGAAAGCAAAGCTCTCTATTTATTAATCGATCTACATTCCTACTCTCATCTATGGTCACAAGCTTTGGGTAGTGATAGAAAGAACAGGATCGCTGACAGTTCCGACCGAGATGAGTTTCATCTCCAGGGTGTCTGGGCTCTCCCATACAGTCCATGGGCTAGGGTGACTAACCGTGCACATCCCCCCCCCCCCATACTCACACACACACTCACTGAACTTCTCTGGTATTTTCATGTAAACTAGGGTCCACTCTTTTAGAAAATGCGTGTTAACAGAAAAAAAGTTGGGTCTCGCTGCCCCCCAGGGACCCCTTGTTGGCCACACTCCTTTTCTATTGTGACCATCAAAATTAGGGGTACAGAGACCTTAACTGCCAATAACTTTGCTATAAATCAACCAAAGTTTGTGGAATGGATGGTGTCTTTGTTTATATATCTGTTAGCCCACTCTACAAATATTGCCAATAGCCACCAATTCATCATCCATCCATCCATCCATCCATCCATCCATCCATCCATCCATCCATCCATCCATCCATCCATCCATCCATCCATCCATCCATCCATNCATCCATCCATCCATCCATACATCCATACATACATACTGTACATACATACATACATATATACATACATCCATTCAGCATATAAAATCTTCAGGTTTGATGTGCTGAATACTTTATCATCCTGATGAAACTGTTGCAAACTAATCTTTATGGTCACTTTTGAATAACAATCAAATTGTTTAACCTCTGAAGAGGAGATGTACAAAAAGAGCCGCCATTATTGTAGCTGATCACACATCAGCCTGGTGTTCACCAGCAGCTTAAAAACACTTATGTTTGTAGTTAGCTGTTTTCTTTTACACATTGGTAATCAACGGCTATCATCTTGTTAATTTAACTTTGCCTAAAGTAACGTGTTTCACTGACTGGAGCAGCTAATGGAGTGGCTTATAACACTCTGTCAATGAACTTGTTTACAGGTGCAAGTTTGTGTGGTCACTTGCCTAAGCTGCAGGAGAAGAAGTGTATTTATGTTTTTATTGAATATAAAATTGGATATTCTCATTTAACACTGAAAGTGGCAGAACATTATATCACTTTAGTTAACCTAATAACATAAGACCAGAATTTAATGAGCAAACAAGTGTCAAATTAAAATTAAACAATGTATCTTCAAATGTACATAATGAATAAAAAATATGACATTTCCCAGAACGTGTGTGGTTTGACTGATGAAACAACAAAAACAACAACAACAACAACAACAACAACAACAACAACAACAACAACAACAACAACAACAACAACAACAACAACAACATAATTCAAGCTGGCCATGAAATCAAACTTTGCATGTTTCGGTTTTTTCAGTCATCAGTGCATCCTTGCAAAACAGCATGGTTAAAAAGTGTGAAACCATCACCGTTGACGTGTGTTCACATCTGTGCATGCAAACATGAAGACATTACAGTTGGAGGTTAAAACTCCAAAATAAAACATTTGAACATTTGAGCAGCAAATTATCACTTTGTGTTCATTAATTAGCAGCTCATATCTTTAAAACACAAGAATCTCCAGGTTTAGTGTGCAGAGTCCTCTCACAACTTGTCCCAATTTTACTCATACTGTATCTCTGATTTTATTTTCTGTCTAAACATTTACTAATTAGCTCCTTAGCATCATTCTGCTGTTTTCATTCTGAATATTCATCAGTTGTTGATGTTTAGAGATTTTAGTGTGAAAACAGCTTCTGCTGCTTGTGAAAATCATGCTAAAAAGTAGTGAGTCAAAACAGCAAAGTTGCGGGTGATGCAGCCAGGCGCTGAGCTGCAAGTTGATGTCACACTATATAATGTAAGTGAAGCAAAAAAAAAGTTATTTCAGAACTTAAATCATGTTTAATTTCTGCTGATCGATGCAGAAAACATCATATTCATCACCGTTTTGGTCCTATTTTAGCTAATTAAAAAACTTGTGTTCTATTAGAAACAAAACAAAACTTAATATTTTGTCTTAGGACCATTCAGGTTTATGAAAACACATCTTATCTGAAATAAGAAATTCTTTCTGCCTTCTAATAAATTCATCATAGGTTACAGTTAGTGTATTACATCAAATACTATGTCCTCATTAAAACCACTTTAAGGAAAACACCCACAGTCATCCTGTGTTACGGAGCTGTGCAACTCTTTTTTTTTTCATTTTGATAGTTAATACGAATAAATTTAGGACCATAAAAGGAGATTAACATTCACTAAAGTAAAACAATTAYCAAAACTGTACTTGAATTTATGTTGCATATTAAATAACTGCAACATTTGTACTATTTGCGAGATCAATGTCATAAGATTAGAAAAAAAACAGTTTTTTTTTCTACTGTCATCTCCACCCTTAGTTTTATAGCATGGTGCTTGTGTTTGCTGACCTGACTTTTTTTCTAAACCAGTTTTATTATAAATAAGCAGGATGTGATGTGCATCCAGTTCCTGTTACAAACTGACAACAGGGAACTTTCCTTTACCTATAAAGGTTTCACACATTCCACTTCACTCTGTGCTGACATCACTTTCACATCCGTCATTTCTCATTTCCTACAACAGAAACAAGCTTCGTATTCAATATATCCATCTTTAATGTGGATTACAATAAAATACATTCAGCATTGAGTGGTTTGTCCATAGGACGTACAGTTTTCTCATAAGCAAAACATTTTCTCAGCTTATAACACATGGAATGTGTTTTGCCCCAAATCAAACGAGCAAATAAACACATTCATCCTGATCACGTTTGGATTACAGAATTGTGTTCCTTGAAAAAGATTTTGGTGCTGACTCGCACCATTTTCTAAATGCTCATAATTGAACAAAAACAGAGCTAAAGTCATGTTCATCCACAAAATGTATTGTACACGGCAAACGTAGTGACATCTACATCAAAATAAATCTTCAGCAGGAGATAATAACCTCCTTATAAATACAAGTGGATAAATAAGTGCGTCATCAAATAAATACACTGAAAAACGGCCATATTTACAAAGAACGAGTTTGGTTTAAAGTCTTTCCTGTTTGCACCTTCTGAACAACCACCTTCAAACCCTGCTAAGGATTTTCTCTTGCATCTCCAGGCTTTAAAATGACACCTGAACATTTTCACCTTCCTGGACATAAAAATGCAAAAAAGCTCTCGCTGCTGTTATCATCAGTTGCATCTGCACCAAAGTGATTTCTCACATCCTTTCAGTCGACGAGGAACATGCCAAGTCCAGATCCAGTCATCTCCAGTTTCCAGTTCTGCAGTCCGTGCGTTGGAACCACCATCTGAGTAAGCAGTTCACTTGTATCCAACTGTGTTACAGTGAAGCACTTCTCGCTCACAGATCTTGCATGTGCTGGAAGCTTCACGTTACAGGTGAGTTTGTCGCCCACGTGCAGTTTGAGGACACCTGCAGAGCAGTTGGAGGTGTAGGTGCAGGTGAGGTTGACCTCGATGTATATGAAGTAGGTCCCCATCTGTCTTGGATTCAGGGAATTCTTGTTAGACTTAAAGATATATTTGCTTCCTATTGAATTCCCTTCACCATATGTAACCGGAGCCCACTCCATGGTCTTATTGTTTACTGTGCCTGAAAGAGGAGACAAACAAATGCACACATTAGATGTTTGAACAAAATACCAAAATGTTGTCTAGACAACTGAGGGATAACATATTAAGAGTTATTTTATGCCTTTTAGGATTCTTACATAATAACTTAAACAATGAATGTAGAATTTCTCACTGTGGCTCTAAAACTGGAAGCTGAAATTCTAAAGACAATTTTTTTGTAAAAGATTTTAAAGTTAACAGATAAAATACTAACTTGTAACAGCTTCAATGTAGGCAAAATTCTGCATCTGTTAGAAAGAAAAAAGATAACAAGGATTAGAAAATGTGCCAGGATCAAAATTTTTAAACAAACTGTTCATTACAGATTAAACGCAGATTATAGTTTAGAACATATTTGTTTACCTTAAAACCTGGCAAAGGTTGTTCTCCACTGAGACTCTCAACAATTCCAGAGTCCGAGACCTGGTAGGGTTTAAGCAGGTCAGATTGCAGTTTTCTCACAGTCATCACTCCACAAACAGCCAGAGCTGCCACCGAGACAAACAGGAAAAAAATGGAGGTGATGAGAAAAATGTTCATGCAGCTCCCGCGCCGCCGGTCGGTCTTCTGAAGAGACTCAACGTCCTTTTGGCTGTCCTGATGTCCCATGAATCCACTGTAAGAAGTCTGAACTTCAGAAGAAAGTCCACACAGAATTGAACCAAACAAATGGGTCCAGGAGAGTGTTTGTTCCTCTTCGCGCAGCTCTGTCTTCTCGCAGAGTGTGGTCGCTCTTGGCACGAAGCCTTTCATAGGCCTTACTTATATTSTACAGCGCAGTTTCAGACAGAGGAGAAAGGCGGAACTCATGGGTTTCCCTCTCGCCTCCACACACACTCCTCCCCTCGTTCAGGCCGGGGCTATTTGACAGGAGGTGAGAAAACGAGTCAAACAGACTTTCCGCGGCTGTCCTCACTGTTGCGCAAGAGCGCGCGCCACCGAGAGGGAGCGAGTGCGGTGGAAAACGAAAGGGAGACGAAAAAAATGTTGCCTGAAGCTTTACTATTCCGTTACAGCTAAAACTAAAAGTCTCAGTTTTACTTCAACAAATACAGGTTTACAGTTGGCCCAAAGAAAAAAAAAGTATAAAACTATTTGATTCCCTGATTAGATGGAAAATGGCTGTGTGTAAAGAGGTGGGGGATCCCTCTAAATGGTGCCCACCTGTACCCATATATCTGACACAGAAAGATGGGTTTCAAGTCAGGGAACATAGGCCTGTGATCAGAAACCTGCGCCGGAATTTCCAACGTCATAAGTGAAACAGTGTCTGAGGGAGAAGACAGGGAGAGTGATTTTTTTTYCACAAAAAATGTCTTTCAGTTTATCATTCACTTTTGGTGTCGTTGAAAAAAATCATAACAAAGATGGGGAGGATGTGTTTGCACCCATAATGCAACTATCTGAGTGGTAACCAAAATCCTAGAGTTTACATACCACAAAAATCATGTTCAGGAAATAAAATGTTTACATATACACACGCGTACACACAGAAATGACACATCGGACTGTAAATGCAAAGAAAAGTTTTCCTGAGGGACAGAATTTTGCTAACCCTTTTGCAGAACTTCTAAATTCTCATCAGCCACAGGACTGTGCACATGACCCTGRTTTTGGGAACGGATTGTCTCAAATTGATGARTAATCACAAAACTTAGTCATCCATCCATCAACTTTAATCACCTCCTTTCAGGGTCACTGGGGTACCTGGTGCCCATTTCCAGAAGTCACTGTGCAAGGAGCGAGGTACACCCAGGCCTACAATGATCCATCTCAAGGACACRGAGACAAATGTGACAAACAACCATTCGCACTAGGGGTGCACTGAAGCAGGGTGTAGATGTTTGCCCTGCAACCACAGCGTTCCTGGTTCAAATCCCTGCCAGAGCACATACTCCATACCAGTGACGGATGTTGGTCTTTCAAAAAGAGGAAGCTCAGTTTCGGCCTACATCATAAAATGTGTGGGTTATAAATTCTACCCTCCGTTCCTTTTCAACAAAATGATCTGTGACCCTGCCACAGATCATTTAGTTTATAGTATTTATTTATTTCATTTTTAAAAACAAAACATTTGGCTACATACAACAAAACAATACAAATAAAATAAAATGAAAGGCAACAGAAGAAGAAAAATATCTTATGATATCTGCATCTATTTACAAAAAAAATATTAATTTCAAACAATAAACCAAATAATAAAACAAAACTAAAAAAATTCAACTCCTCAAACAGTGACTCATACAAATACAAATTAAACAATTTCATATTTCTTTAACAAATTTTCTTTGATTTTTTAAAGGAATTAATTGATCCAATGCCTTTATAATCATTTTCCAGATTATTCTATAGTCTTTTACAGCAGCCAGCTCACTTTGTCATACCAGGACAGCTGAAACGACCTGTTACTTTTCCCCACCTTTTGCACCATATTAATCTGAGGAGTTGATCAGCCCTGCAGCCATGCTTCTTACAGCTCTGTAACATTTCAAAACTTCCCCCTTTACTGTCTGCCTCTGAGCTTGAAATGCTAATCCACGCCTTTGTCTCGACCCGCCTGGACTATTGCAACAGTCTGTTCACCTGCCTGAACCAAAAACAGCTTAATCGTCTCCAACTTGTACAAAATTCAGCAGCTAGGCTTCTAACTCACACTTCGAAACTCTCCCACATTACTCCGATCTTATCCGAGCTTCACTGGCTTCCTGTCCRYTTCAGACTCAGATTCAAAATTCTAGTTCTCACTGTCAGAGGCCTACATGGCCAGGTGCCCAATTACATCTCAAGCCTCATGTCCCACTACAATCCAACACGCAATTTGTGTTCTCAAAATCAGAACCTTCTCATGGTCCCCCCTACTCGTCTCAAGACCTGCAGAGACTGTGCTTTCTCCTCCATGGCTCCCAGACTTTGGAATGCTCTCCCGGCCCATCTGCGCTCCCTTGATAACACTGACACCTTTAAAAATCAACTTAAAACACATTTATTCACTCAAGCATTTAGCTGAAGGTATCCTGCCGTCCACAACATAATCCTGAACCTAAACTTCCGTGACTGCAAAACATGTATTTTACTTCTGACTGGTATCCATTCATTTATATTTTATACGCCACAACCATCGACTTAAATTAGTTACAGGCAAGCCTATCTGTTGTATTTACTTTAATTACTTTTTTCTCCATCATTGTTATTCCATGCCCCTTACTATTCCAAATATTTGAGAATGTATTGACCAGAATTTCATCATTTGTAATGTAATTGTCAAGTATTTCTGTTTTTCTCTTTGTGTTTGATTATTGTACAGCACCTGCTGCCAATCAACTCTTTCTATATTAATGATTGGTGTACAGCACCTTGTGAATTCCATTTCTGTGAAAGACGCTTTATAAATAAAATTTTACTTACTTACCTACTTACCTACCTACTTACCTACTTACCTACTTACCTACTTACTTACTTACTTACTTACTTACTTACTTACTTACTTACTTACTTACTTACTTACTGTTGTTGGGTCTCTGTGCAAGACACCTACTCAACTTCTTCATGTATTAATGTACTGGTGTGATTGTGATGGTCTGGAGGGACCGTAGGTGCAGAATGGCAGCCACACTTTCACCACAGGATTGAATGAATAATACATCAAACTGTAAAAATTTCTTTCTCTTTGAGATTAGAAAAGCACTATATAAAACTAATGTGTTACTGATCTGTCCAATATAACAGAACAAATTCCTAATTATTCTTGACTACACTCAAGTGAAATACATTGTTAAAGCAATAAAATAAATTAGTACTTTCAGTACTTAAGTATTTTGAAAGCACATACTCCAGTACTTTAACTTAAGTAATAATTTGACAGAACTACTTTTATTTTTTATTGGAGTATTATTTGACCAGTAGGAATTTGATTCAAGTAAGGAAACAGTATTTTGTCCACCAGTGAAATTTACCCCATGGTTCATAAGCAGAGGTGCACATAAGCGGTGCGCAGGTATGCATGTGCGGTCAAAAAAGGAAAAGTGCACCAGATGTTACGTCATAAAGCTCCCTTGCGTACCTAAGATTGTATACCTGGTTGTCTGTGAAAACAACAGTTAGCAGGGCTCTAGAGTGYGACCAGTTTGGTCGCAAACACGACCTGATTTYGTAAAAAAAAAAWACATTTAAAAAGAATCCAGCGACACTGGTGTGAATGGATCGTTGTTCTGTGCGCCACAGCAGGACCCTGACATAAGGATTAAACKGACACTGCCTTCAACAAATCATACGAAGTCCAGAGCTGTTTTGTCCAATCAGAGCAGAGCAGGGCGGGACTTTCAGTGAGAACATGTTTGGTTGAAGCAGTGGGCCGCTCGTCTCGAGCTGCTGCAGCGACGTGATCAGTCCAGGCTTCTCCTGTCCTTCCGCACTTTGCTCCTGAATTACCAGACTTTGGTCTGTAAAACCTAACTTTATATTCAATATATGTTCAGAATGTTGTTATTGAACAGATCTGTCCAACTTTGAGTGAGTGACTAAACTCTCTCCTCCTGATGAGAGACTGCTGTGACAGGAGCGCGTCGCTGCGTGCGCAGGCCGAGTCTTTCTGTGAGATTCACTGAGTTCTTCTAATTAAACCACATTAACTAACAGAACATTTGTTTGCCCCATATTAAAGCAAAGATTATTCTCTGTTTAACACCCCAGTCAAAATATATTTATTAAAAAATAAATAAAAACAACTTGCCATGTTCTCTAGGTG